AGTCTTCCACAGCACCGCAGTTCAAAGGCATCAATTCTTTGGTGCTCAGCCTTCTTTATGGTCAATCTCTCACAGCCATACATTACTACTGGATTTTGAAGATTAAGAGCTTTCAATAGGTTCACACTGTTTTTGAGAATTATTTTTGAAGGCATACTTTGATTTACACACACACACACCCTGCAGGTCCTGCTGTGCTGCCTCATTGTGGTGGTGGTGGTGGTGGTGGTGGTGGGGTTCCTGGGAGGGATGAGTGAAGAACATTGGGAGTGTACACCAAGAGTATATATTCCCAGCAGGGTCACCCAAGGCATGAAGGCCATCCCAGCTGTCCAGCTAAAGCAAGCAGGCACCTATACTGGGCAGCAGCAATATAGGAAGAGGCTGGAGGCAGATGATCACTTTAGTGACAATGGCAAAGGCATCAATTCATACTGCGCGGGAGAAGCCAATGATAAACCACTCCTATATTTTTTACCAAGAAAACCACATGGATAGAAAATATAAAATGATTGACAATATAGTGCCGGATGATGGGCCCCTCAGGTTGGGTGGCACTTAACATGCTACTGAGGAAGAGCTGAGGATTTTTCAGAGCACTAATGGTGTTTATGACGTGGCTAGATTAAAGCCTTTGGGATGTCTAGTTGGTGATGTTATTATACAGGAAAAGAAAATCTGAAACTGCAAAGATAGAATTACAGTAGGAACATGGAACATAAGAAGCACGAACACAAGAAGTTCAGCACAATGAAAGATGGAATGAAATGACTACAAAAGGACATCCTAGGCATTGGCCAATTGAGATGAACTGGGATCGGACACTTTCCTGTTCACATGAAAAAACAGGTTAGGGATAGATTATTTTGGAGAAAATCTGTCTATGTGGTCACTAGGAGTCAAAAACGACTTGATGGCACATAATCGATCGGGCTTGATTTAATTGATATTTGGAGCATAGTATCACATGCAAGTGATGATTGTCTCACTCAGAACTCTTGATGCACACTCAGCTCTTCTGCTGAAGATTCTTTTCCCACAAATATCAATTCCTGACCCCAATTGCTTTTAAGATGGATCTTTTGGGCAGTCATAACTTGTATGTCCTGCTGAATACAGTACAATGTGCTAGAAAGTGGTTATACTGTTTCTTTAGTCCTGGGATGCTAAAAAGGGAAGATGTATGCTACTTATATAATGGTGTGTGGAAAAGCAAACCAGGGAGTTTTCTACCAGATTGTGAAATGGAAGATTAGATTCTCTATTAAGAGTGGCTTAGGAAATTGTGGAAACAGCAAAATGTGTGCGTATGTGTGTTAAAAAGGCAAAATGAACAACCTGATCTCTGCTTCTCCCAAAGGATTAGTGGGCAAGAAAAAATGGATTTCTTCTTACTATTTATAACAATGATATCTGATTTGCAGGAATTAAGGAATGATTTGATCAGATAATCAACTAAATAAAAAAAAGCACAGCTGCAATTTCCATTTTAGATTGCATTAACAGTTTCAAAATTACGAGAGAGAAAATTACAGCTCTAATTCTATGAATCTATAATGAACACACACAACTGCAGTGCTATTGATGTCTAGAATACATGATCTTTTTAGCACCTCCTGCTTTTTCTGCAGCTATCAGGGGCATTACCTTGTACTCCTTTCTAAACACAGCAGATTAACTGCATGCCTAGTAAACAGCAACTTGATTTGGAAAACCACCACTATCTGGCACGTCTTACACACAAAGAGCTCCAGTGTAGAACTTGTCATGCACTCACCTGGGGGTTGGAAGGAATCCCATATTTGACTTAAAGAAGAGACAAATGGGTCATTATCAACAGGGGGTGGGGGCTGGCATTTTTCAAATCTTGCCATGGATCCTGTTAACAATTCCACAGGAAGGTTGATGTCTCTCAGCTTGTGATAATCCTGCATTTCTTCTTTGAGAGGGAAGATGAGATGCAGGCAAAATACAGTGGGGCTGCTAGCAACAGTTGGGTTTGGAAGGCGGAGGTTTGGGGATCAGGAATCCACGTTGAAGTTCATAACCAATGAATAGAGAGGAGGGGAGATTCCTGATTCAGCACACAGTAGCCAACTGGAGTGGAGATTTGTGCTGAGAATGAAACGAAAAGCAGCAGGTGGACTAGACGCCATCACATGTGCCAGCACTGGTCAGAAAACACTACATTTTGTACATTGCAAGAAAAGACAAGGGAAGGTTGCTTTCCATGCTGTAGTGTCTTCAAGAAATGTTAGTGGCCCAAGGTTGTGGTGAGGCACCCTCGTCACGTAGATCAGCTTCCCTCTCTTTGCTGAATGCTGCTGCCATTCCCTCTCTGTTCCTTTTTTGTGTGTCTGAAAACATGTTCTTAGTTATAATTTTCAATAGGATTGATAAACCCCACAAGTCTGTTTTAGCTAACTATTGTTCCAATTCCAGCTTCCTGCTTGAAAATGCCCTCATTTTGCTGTTGTGGTGGTTATTTTTGCTTTATTTGGGTTTGTTGTTCCCCTGTAGAATGTAGGATGTATCTCCATTCAAAACCAACTGAAATTCCACACTCAGCTGTTACTGTATTATGTTTCTAGATTTGGGTGGTTTTATTTTTTTCTATGTAAACCAACTTGAGTTGTTCATAGTATAGTAGGACAGAAATCTTGTTATGAATAGATACAGCATTAGGAAAGGCAGCTCTGGAAACTTTCATAAGGTAACCCAGGAATATATCATACTTCTCAGAAGTAAATAGTAGATTGATACAGTCCCTGTGGGAAGCTGTAGTGGCAAATCTGCTGTGAAATGCATGTTTTGAATACCAGCTCTGTAAAATGATTCACAGACAAAACACCCATCCAATTTAAGTAGCTGAGAAAGGGATATGGATTAAATGCTAAAGGCGATGTACCTCTGCATCTGTAATTTCCTTTTGCAAATGGAAGAAAGACCCAGAAAGTAAGGGGACATTTTTAAAAGGTAAAGTGGATAATGTGGTCAGACAATTGGAAATGCACAAAACAGAGCTTGCAACTGGCAATTCCCCCTGTGTCAATTAAGACCCTTCTGTGTGCTGTTTCAATTGTCTGGTCATGTTATTCACTCAGACATAGCTTACTACACACCAGAATGGTCATCTCGTTCTTCATCCTGATAGATTACTGTCCTTTGGCCCCATATGTTAGACTAGAAATTCCACCATTTCTAGCTAAGATACCCATGCTGACTGGGGATTATGTGGATAGCAGCCCAGGAGGAAAGGTTCTGGGTCAGATGCTTGCACGAAGAATATCCAACTGCTCATAATGCTAGATGTAGTTTACTCCTGCTTGTCTTGCCTTCAGGGTACCAAAGAATCCATTGGTGACGGAGGTGAAAGGAGGATGACTGCACACCAGGCAATTCTCATATGCCATTTTTATACAAGCAAGATTAAAGTAAAGACTAAATACTGTAGAGCTCTTGAACCTTTAATAAATGTTTCTACAGTTTTGTGGATGTCTAATCTGCAGCAGGTAGCAATTTGAGCTGACCTTGAAAACAAAGCTGAGTCGGACTAGATTCATACTTGGATGGGAGCCTGGAAAGTTAAAAAAATCCCAGAAGAAGGCAAATGGCAAACCACTTTCATGTACTGTAGTTGCCAGAGTCATTCAGGAGTGGAGCATGATTTAAGAGAATTTAATTAGTATTTCAGGAGAAGTTGCACCTGTCAAATTCTCCCTTTTATACTTCTGCTATACAGGAGCCTTGCCAGTGATGGATGATCCTATTCTCCTCCTTTCTAAAGGCTCTGCTTATTCTATTTTTAAAATTGATTATTTGCACTGAAGCTATTTCCATTGATGAAAACTCAGTTGGGAATGTCATAATTGAATGAATATGGTAGGACTCAGACCACCAATAGAATTTGGGAGTGTAGTTGTAGCACTAGGATGACTGGAAAAAGAAATAATCAGGAACAGCTTTTCCCAGGTTGAATTTGCAGGAATGGAATATATGTATGTATATATGTATGTATGTGTAT